CAACAGCCTTATGAAGTAGCTACTATTATTATCCCCACTTTTAGAGATAAGAAAAGTAATGAAATAACAACCAGTTCGGGGTGTAGCCAACAGGTCTGACAGTCACCCGTTATCTCAGCACAGCTTCAGAGGCCAAGGAAATGAAAGATTTCTACTTTTTTTATGTCACAAAAATATTTTTACAAATTGGCAACAGCATATGCTGGAGGGCGACCCCCAAACTCTGTAGTAACCATTGGCTGGGGGATGCTGGTTAGGAATGGGAAGAGAGAAACGGAGTTGATAGGCAGGTGGATAGACGGTGAAACACAAACAAGTAGACCACAGAAAAGCCACAAGGGGTAACAAAGACATCAACGATACAGTAACATATGGAGCTGGTCATGGAAAGAGGCACATGAAAGAGATGGGAGAGACAAAGCGGGGAAAGACAGTACTAACATGGGGAGAGAAACCTGGAGAGTCAGATAAATTTCCTCCCACCACGGTCTACCTTCCATCCTTCCCCAATCCCTAATGCTAGCCAGAAAATGAGAATGCCACAGAGCAAAAGGAGGGACCAGACAGACAAGCGCTAGACATATGAAACATACAGCTATGTCAAAACATAATTATAGGCTTGTGTCCAGCTGTTTACCGTGTGCTCTCTCCCCAACTCCATCCCCAATCGGTCACTGTTCTTCTCTATGACCTTCCAAGTGCAAACTTAGCTTCTCCTGACCAGCTCCAAACTCACAAATCGCAAGGAAAGGAAGAAATTATTTAAACAATTTTTTGTGGGTTTTTTTTTTAACAGTTTAATTGAGATAAAATTCAGACCATCAGTGTCCAGTGAAGGAGCCCTTGGAGAAGAACCTGTGTGGCTGATGCTCAGGGTCAAGGGTCATATTAATGCCATTAGGTGCTCAGAACAAAGGCTCCTAAAGTCAAGGGTCTGGTAAGGTTTTCAACAAAGCAATGAGAAGGACACGTCTGGGGAGCTGCATGTGTGTTGGGGTGATGGCAGACAGGAAAAGAGTTACAGAAGGGAGAACAAGGAGCAGAAAACACCAACGGGAGAAAGAATCTTCAATACATTTCAGAAAGTGGAGTGAGAACTGCAAAGGAGAGCAAGTTTGTCACCATCTACCAGTAAATCCTCATCACGACGAACCACATGCACAAATTATATGTTAAAAATACCTTCCATTCATAGCAGCATTACTCCCAATCACTAAAAAGAAGCACTAAAAAGCAGAAGCAACCCAAATGTCCATCAACAGATGAATAGGTAAACTAAATGTGGCACATCCATAAAATGTAATATTTTCAGGCATAAAAAGGAATGAAGTCCTAATAACGTGCCACATAAAACATGGGTAAACCTTAAAAATATTATGTTGAGAGAAGCTAGATGCAAAAGGCCACACACTGTGAGATTCCATTTATTTGGAGTGTCCGACATAAGCAAATCCGTAGAGGCAGAAGTTAGATTAGTGGTATCCAGGGGCTGGATGAGGGGAAGAGTAGGGAGTGACTGTTAATGGGTGTCGGCTGGTGTTAAAATGATTTAAAATGAGACTGTGGTAATGGCTGCACAATCCTGTAAATATACTAAAAACCACTAACCATATACATTAAATAGATAAATAAATGTTATGCTATGTAAAATCTATCTGAATATATTTTTAAAAATTAAAAATTTTACAAAACACCAATTCATAAAGATCTATGCATCCCTATGTTCACAGCAGTGTTATTCACAATAGCCGACATATGGAAGCAACCTAAGTGCTTATCAATGCACAATTGGATAAAAAAATAATGGTACATATACATGATGAAATATTACTCAACCATAAAAAAATGAAATCTTACCATTTGCAACAACATGGATGGACCTAGAGGGTATTATGCTGAGTAAAATAAGTCGGACAGAGAAAGATAAATACCAGATGATTTCACTGATGTGTGTAACATAGAAGGAACGAAAAGAAATGAACAAACTCAACAAAAATAGACTCACAGAAACGGAGGACAAAATGGTGACTGCCAGAGGGGAAGTGGGTTGGGGTGCTAGGTGAAAAATGTGAAGGGATGAGGAAGTACAGATGAGTAGTCACAGAACAGTCACAGGGATGTAGAGTACAGCACAGCGAATACAGTCAGTACTATTGTAATGGCCGTATGTAGTGCTAGCTGGGTGCTAATCGGGGGATCACCTCAGAAATTATATAAATGTCTAACCATTGTACTGTATACCTGAAATGGATATAATTTTTAAAATAACAAAACCAAAAAAATTATTAAAATATAAATTTTATAGATAAAAAAATTTAAAATGTAAATTTTTAAATTTTTTACTGTAAGAAAATAAACTTTAAAATTTTTCTTAAATGATGCCTTTTTTCCCATCCTTCTCAAAAATACAGTGTTTCTCTTAAGCAGAGGAGAGCATTTATATAGATGGCAGTTAACCAAACACCATGAAAACAATGAGAAGCAGCAATAAAAATGAGATAAAACCAAACCCTTTTAACCGATCTCTTCCTCAGCCAAATCCTGATAAGATGAAATATGTCTACGTGGCTAAGGTCCTTTCACACACTGTCCTCAGAGCATAGACAGTCCACCCTCATCTGCTGCTCCAGATCACATCACCCACCTTCCCACCAGCTTGTTTCATGTGTTATCACCAAAGCTATGCCCACTGAAGGTAATAGCCTGGCTAATTTTTATAGACTACGTAAAAATTGGCTGACAAAAATCCAGACTTTTTATACTGCTCTCTGCTTTATTTGAACAAAAAAGAGCCATCATCACTCTTTCTAAAAAAATCTATCCAGTTCTTACCAGGTGACCTTCTACAGTATACTTTATGTTCACTGCTTCCTTCCCAACAGTCTTTTAAGAATTACCAGAGCAGAGAAGAACTATGGATCAGGACAAGCCACTTCACCGAGCTCCTAACCTGTAAATGAAGGGGCAACCCTGAATTACCTCTAAGAATACCTCAGTCTCAGATGGGTCTGTCTGTGTCTATGAATCATGTAAACAAAACCGAATGCAGAATTAGAGTTCCAGGAAACTTTAGTAAGACTTTAAATCCTTGAAATTTCAATCAAGTCATTTCCAGTATAAAATAACTTAAAAACTTAAGACCCAGTTCCTCAGCAAACCTTATCTGAATATCTGTGGGAGACAAGCAAGGTGTGAAGAAAGGAAAGAAGCATCCCACTCTCTAATATTCGGCTCTGCGAAGTTCATGTGAAAACCCTAGAATTACCTGTTTATCACCTCACAATGAGCACATTAACAATATAGCCAGCTGGCAGGACAAATGATGAATCCTACCCTATTTGAGAAACAAATATTATTTTGGAAATTTCTGGATAGCAGGAACTGATTTGGGAGAATGGGGGGAAAAAACTATTTCGACTACAGCTCTTATCTAACTTGGCTGACAGTCACCTCTAAACAAACTGCCAGCCTTTCAGGGGGCAGGTAAGAACATAACACCTCATTTCTTCATCAGCCTTGAAACTCCACACCAAAGCAACTCTTGTTCAGCCCTAATTTCTCTAGGCACTGACTGTGGTGGCCTCAGCGCACTCCTTCAGAACCACACATCTGCACTGGCCAGGCCCAGCACTGGCCCAGGGTGGGCATCGCCAGTGAGAGGTGGGTCCTTGACTTCTGTGTACACAGTGGGGGAGTCCTGGTGACCTGCTAGGTAAAGACTCTGAATGGGGCCATAAGAATGAGAGTAAGTGATGTGGAACTGACACTAATGAACGGCATACAAAACCCATAAACCCAGAACACCCCAAAGCAAGTAATCCAGCCCCGAACTTGGGAAGATGAACAACCACAGGAGCTGGATAAGGTTTATGAAGACACAGGCCAGTTCTCTGTGATCATGGAAGGTACGACAGCAGTGAGAGAAGCTGAGGACCTCAGAGGCTGAGGAACTCAGAGACAGCTTCTTTCTAACCCTTTGATTCTGGCAACCTCCCAAACTGCCTTAAAACCTCTAATCAAACTAGTCTGTTCCCCACTGGCTTATTAACATGATGTATCTCTAAGAATATAAGTAATTATTAAGCATCTGATTAATTACACGAAATCTCCTTCATTCCCAGCTTGAGCTATAAAGCTTATAAAACATTGGAGCCACATTTATACATTACTGTACTGTCACCCAATGTCACAAAGTTACAGTATACCAAATGAAGAAGCATGACTTACCAATTTTCTGACTGAAAATCTTGTCAAAGGTTATTTCATTCCTCTCCTCAAGATACTTCTGCATCACACTCCGGATACTAAAAGAGAAGAGTGACACGTTTTTAACAATTACAGCCTGTGCCATGAGAACCACCTTTAGAATGGAAAATACATGGATGTCTTAACTCAAGGGTATTGGTTTGACAAGAGACCACCCTCTTAAGACATCCATGACTGCACGAATGGCTAGTTTGACTGAAAGCTGGGAACATCACAGCTCTAGCCATTATTCTCTCCTGCAGTTCAGGGCTGACCTTTCATGTAGAGACTCGCCTACAAAAAATAACTTAAAAACTTGGGGAAAGTTCACCCTTAACGCCGCTTTCCAAAATATGCACAAGCGTGCATGCACACACAAGACAAATTCTGCTCATCGATTAATGAGCTTCTTTCTAAAACAAAAGCTAAAGCTCCCTGGATATATAATTAATATTTTTTAAAAATCAGATTTCTACACATTAATAATAAATTACAAGAAAACATAATTAGAAGGAAGATTTCACTTACAATAAAATAAAAAACATTAAATGCCTTGAAATAAATCTTTCAAAATACGCACGGGAACTTTACAGGGAAAATTACAAATTGATCAATGAAATGGAATACAGATCACATATGCTGACCCATACATACATGGAACGTTGATATATAATAGAAGTAGCAAGGTAGAAAAATCTAGGAGGGATTATTCAATAAGTGAATCCCAAAAGTGATTATCCAAATGAAAAAAGTAGAAATTGAATCTATCATCCATTGACGAGCCACAATTTGGCATTACCCTTGTTTAAAACTTATATTATAATAAAACTAATTAATCGAGGTATAATTTATGTAGAATTAAATACATATTTAAGTGTATTGTTAAATGAATTTTTCACATATAACTACTATCCTGATCAAGATATCAAAAATTTCTATCGCCTCAATTGCAATTAATCTCCAGGCAACTATTGATCTTCTTTCTCTTAATTCAGATTACTTGCTCCAGTTCTAGAATTTTATGTAAATAAAAAACATACACTACAATGTCCTTTGCGTCTGGCTTTTTTAACTCAGCAAAACCAAGCTCCATCCATATTGTTGTGTGCATAAGTATTTAGCTCTTTATTGCCATTGTATGTCATTGTATTCTACTATTTGTTTATCCATTCATCTGTTGATAGACATATGGGTTGTTTCCAGTTTGGGGCTATTATGAATAAAGCCACTTTAAATATTTGTGTGAAAGTCTTTTTATGGACACGTGTTTTCATTTTTCATGGGTAAATATCTAGAAGTGGAATTGTTGGCCATATGGAAAATTATATTTAACATTATGAAAAAGTACTGAACTACATCCCAAACTGGCTGTACAATGTTACATCCCCACCAACAATGGATGAAGTTCTACGTGCTCCGCATCCCTTGCCAAGACTTTGGTTATTGGTCTTTTTAGTTTTTAGCCACTCTCTTGGGAGTGTAGTGGCATCTCGTATTGACTTGTATATGAATGTGCATTTCCCTAATGAATAATGATGTTGAGCATGTTTGGACATGATTATTGGAATGTGTACATCTTCTTTTGTAAGGCGTGCCATGAAATCTTTTGCCTACCTTTCGATTGAGTTGTCTTATTACTCAGTTATAAAATTTCTTTAATAGCCTGGAAACAAGTCCTATGTCAGAATATGTGATAATAATATTTTCTCCCAGTCTGCACTTTGTGTCTTCATTTTCTTCATGAAGTCTTTCTAAGAGCAGAAGTATTTAGTTGATGGTTCCAATTGACTGATTTCTCTTTCTGGTGGACAGCCTGTGCTAAGAAATCTTTTACATCCCAAGGCCATGAAGATTTTAACCTGTATTTTCCTCCTTTAGAAATTTTAAAGTTTTAGCTTCTATATTTATTTAGGTCTAAGATCCATTTCAGGTTAATTTTTGTGCATGATACAAGGTAAGCTCAAGGTTCTTTTTTTCCTTGTAATACCTAATTGTTCCAATAGCATTTGTTGGAAAAAACAACAACAACAACAACAACAACAATCCTTTCTCCATTGAATTATCTTGACATCTTTGTTGATTCAACACTAAACATGGGTAGGTCTATCTTTAGACTGTCCCACTGCACTGATCTATATGCCTATCCTTACATAATACTATATTGTCTTGATTGCCATAGGTTTATAGTAAGTCTTGAAATCAGGTAACCTAAGTCTTCCAACTTCATTTTGTTGCTTTTGTTTTTGTTCTTTGGCTATCCTAGATTCTCTGCATTTCCATGTCGATTTTTTAAATCGGCATGGAAATTTCATTCCAGAAAAAGTCTGCTGGGGCTTTGATTGGGATTGTGTTGAATCTATACATCAATTTGAGAAAATTAACCTCATAAAAATATTAAGTATACCAGCAGTCCCCAACCTTTTTGGCACCAGGGATAGGTGCCCCTATGAGAACATAATGCTTGATGATGTGAGGTGGAGCTGAGGTGGTGGTGATGCTAGTGCTGGGGAGCAGCTACAAATACAGATGAAGCTTTGCTCGCTTGCCTGCAGCTCACCTCCTGCTGTGTGACCCGGTTCCTAACAGGCCAAGGACCAGTTCCAGTCTGCGGCCCAAGGGCTGGGGACCCCTAAGGTATACAATACATAAATATTACATATTTCTCCATTTATCTAGGTCTCCCTTAATTTCTCTTATCAATATTTTGTAGCTTTCAGTATAAGTCCTGTCTTTTTCTTGTAATAGTTTTTCTCTGGTTTTGGTATCAGGATAACTGATTCATAAAATCATATGGGAATTATTCCTTTCTCCTCCCTTTATTTTCTGAAAGAGTTGGTGTAAGACAGTATTAATTCTTCCTTAAATGTTTGCTAGAACTCACTGGTGAAGCCATCTGAGCCTAGAATTTTCTTTGTGGGAAGGTTTTATATTACAAATGCCATTTCTTTCATAGATATAGGGCTATTCATATTTTCTATTTCTTCTTGTATTAGTTTTGATAACTTGTATATTTTAAGAAATTTGTACATTTCTAAGTTGCCGAATGGACTTCAAAATAATTTTTCTAAGTAAACAAGCCAGATGAAGTGGGGCGGCGGGGCATAGTGTTTGATTACAAAGAGGCAGTAGCAAACTCTGGGAGATGATATATGTGGTAAATAAAAAATATCTATCTATATTTGGTCTTTGTCTTGGTTCTTGGCATAGAACTCTTAAAACTCTTGGAATTTTCTTAGTCGTAGGAGTGTTTTATTCACAAGGAGCCTTTTCAACCATACCTGAGTTTATGCTAATGAGGTGACTCCTGGGCCCCTAGACAGCTTCAAGATAAGGCTGGTTACCAGAGGAACCACCATATGATTGAAGGGTTAGAACTTTCAGCCCCACCACCTCAGGGAGGCTGGAGATTGAGTTCAATCACCAATAGTCAATGATTTAATCAATCATGCCTATAAAATGAAACTGTGATAAAGATTCTAGAACAATGAGGTCTGAAGAATTTCTATGTTGGTGAGCCCAACGATGTACTGAGAAGGGGATGCTCCTGGACAGGGGAAGGAAGCTCGGTGCTCCTTCCCCACAGACCTGGCCCTGTGTAACAACCATTTCCAAGTTCCTCAGTTGTATCCTTTACAATAAAAAGAATCACTATTCACCAGACACACATAATAGAACTACATTATCTAAAGTCTCAATAAAAACTTTACCACTAGGTTCAAAATCACCAAACTCTGCCAGGTAGACTCTGAAGAGGTCTATAAAAGTATTTGGTACAATTTAATGTCAACTCTTCTGAAGTTTCCTGGGTTCACCAGATCTTTGGCAGAAATGTCTTGCATGTAATTTGCATAGCATTAAGCAATTCAGCATGAGACAACCTACATTCAGAAGATCACAACCCAATTAAGCAAAACATGAATTCCTCTGTGTTTTTCCTACAATATTTTGACAATCCACATCATATTTTTAATGCCTTTTTCTTTGCAATATATTACCTGATATTCAAATAGCATTAAACGTACTTAAATTTCACTGGCCAAAAATAATCATCGTCACACACGAAAGTCATCCCCAAATAGAAGCAATCTGAAGGATGAACGAATTTATGGGCTCATCAGGTTATCTAATCAAAGCTACTAAAACTTCGTGATCTAAACCTTCCCTTCAAACTGGCTGCCGTGATCATTTTAGAATCCACTCATCTTTTTATCAAAATACTTTTGAATTGGCAATGATACGTAAGCAGCTTCGTTCTACCACTAGGTTGTCTGCGTGAAATAAGCACTAGGGGAGGGAGCGACGACGACCTGGAGCATCTAACCTCCTGGTTTCCAAGAGCAATTTTTCATGTAATGATCTCATTTTAGAAATTCCAACGGTATCTCATTTGGCCCCACATCCAAACTCTTTAGCATGTTATAGGGAGCATTTCCAAAGGGGCCCCAACCCACCTCATCAACCACATCCTGCCACCAACTTTCTCACATAGGAGCCACACTTGATTTTTTCACTGCTCAATAATTCTGTAAATGCTATTCCCTCTAGCGCCTCCTTTTACATGAAAAACTCCTACACATCATTCAGGATCCACGTCAGGGTCACCAACACTAGGATGCCTTCCCCAGCTCTTACAGAGGTTAAGTCCTCTCACTTCAGGTTCTACTCCATGTCAAATATACTGTCCTATCATTTCCCACAATACATTGTAAATACACATATTTTATACACACACACACACACACACAAACACATAGTGTGTGTGTGTATATGTGTATGTATGTATGTATATATACATTTATATATGTACTATACACATAAATGTATATCGTATGTGTATATATATCAGATGTCAGTTGGGACAGAAAGAATAACTCAGAACCCTGGAATCAACTGGGTCCCAATTATCAATACCAGTTTTACTCAGTGAACGTAAATTACAGAAAAAGGAAGAAAGAAAGTCCACTTCTAAGTGAAAAGTTTCAGTATAAAGCTGCACAGAATGAAGGTCTTCTAGAAGCCAACCACCCGCACAATTTTCTACTTAACCAAGAAATA